CATGTGCCCTGACCGGGAATCGAACCCCGATCTCCTGGATCCTACGTCGATGCTCAACCGCTGAGCCACGCCCGGCTGGGCAGGGCAGTGTTATTTGAAAAGGAAAAATCGTAGAAAGAATCAAGTGCCTGTCAACACGAGACTTGACAAAGCCAACATGGGTCTTCTCTACGGGGCACATCTGCAGCTGTCAGAAGCAGCAGAGAAACTCATCGTAGGAGAAGACCTCCCAGAGACACTGTGGCATGGAAGAGGGAAGCCACAAAACACGTGGGACACGCTGCTTTTTATATGAAAAGAGGGGAAATGGGAATCTGCACTTGGATTTGTGTAGATGCGTAGACAAAGTCTAGAAGGAGACGGGAGAAATTCAGTGATTACGGGGAAGACTGGATGGATGTGGGAACTGGGTAAAAAGTTTTAGTTGTACGCTAGTGGTACAGACTGCCATCCTCTCTCCTTCCTTTAGTAAGAGAAACTTCCAAATTTTAGCTGCTCACGTGGCTGCCAAGTTAAGGACATTTCCCAGACTTCCCAGCCACTAGGTGCGGTCAGTGATTAAGAAGTGGCCGGTGGGATGGGCGCAGAAGCCATGCGTCCCTGCGACACAGACGTGCTAATGATAAGGAGACGCCTACGTGCAGGTGAAGACCATTCTCTGCAAGATAGCAGAATACAAGACAGGAGGGCCTGGGTCCCAGCGTGACCCAGGAAAACAGCCACCTGCCACCCTGGAGTGCTTCTCTCCCTCTGGGACGGTCATGCTAAAAAAAAAATAAAAAAAAAATAGCTGTACTTCTACCTTGTTTGATTCGCTGTGTTTTGGGTGTCTTTGTGAAAGCAACTTGGCCTGGCTACAGCAGAAAACGATACGCATACATGAATTACCCCAGTGTCAAAACCACGCTGTGGCTGGCACTGGCGTAGCAGCTGGCAAGGGGAAGGGGGTGAGAAAATAGATACCGCAGACTCGAAAGCTGGTAACTCTTGTGATGCTGTAACCAAAAAAAAAAAGGCTTATCTGTAGATCAAAGGGGACAAACTACCCCGGGGGAAAAAAACATCCCAGATGAAGAAAGAATCTAAGGTGTTAGAAGCAACGTCTCCGAAACGACTAGTGTTAGAGGCCAGCACAGTGCTTTGTGCAGCGTCCTGAGCAGAAAGGCCTGAGATCCCGGCAGCCAGCCGGGGGCACCGGTAACGGGCCCATGTGACTAAGCGGGCAAGGCCTCAGCGAAGGCAGCGCCCACGGGCCTTTCACGAAAACAAAGAAACAGTGGTTGATGGCAAAATCCAACCAACGAAGAAAGAAATCATGTCGGGAGCTCAGGAATGGAGCCACGTCGAGCCCTGGAGGTGGTCGGAAAGTACAACCGAGACTTAAGGACAGCGGGGATTATAGTGACAGGACTGCGGGGAACAGGCCTTGCGAGCTGTAACGGTGAGACGTGAGGCAGGGCACAGGAGCTGGGAGTGTGAGGTAATGGACTCTGCCAACTGCTGAAACAATTTAAAAACCAATGGCACCTGTGCAAGGATTTCCACACTGCACTGCACATTTCTTCTCAATAAAAATAAGAATGACACCATATCTTCAGGTTTTTTCACATTTTTTCTTAACTTTGGAGAAACAGATCAAGAAATAATATATCTTATTGTGGGGGAAAAAATACTCCCTTAAAGCAGGGGTGGGGAACGTCCGGCCCTGCCGAGGCCTCACCAAAGAGAAGCGATTCCAGCCATCACATTAGGGGTGAGTTAATTAAATGCTTGACCAAATACAGGAGGCTAATTTTTAAGTTCATAATTTTGTATGGCCCACGAATGATGTTATAAATATCCAAAAAAGGTGACAATCCCTTGTTTCACTTACTCTTTTCCTAATAGAAACAAGTAAAATTAACTATATGTCATGAAAACAGTCTGNAAATACAGGAGGCTAATTTTTAAGTTCATAATTTTGTATGGCCCACGAATAATGTTATAAATATCCAAAAAATGGGACAATTCCTTGTTTTACTTACTCTTTTCCTAATAGAAACAAGTAAAATTAACTATATTTCATGAAAACAGCNTAATAGAAACAAGTAAAATTAACTATATGTCATGAAAACAGTCTGCTATTTGATAAAATTAAATCTTCATAAAATATGAATCCTATTTTTGTAAAGTTATTTCTAGTTTAGAATGGCATTCACTGCTTATTGAGAATGGCTATCTCCCTGAGTGTTAAGATTCGGGAGACTTTTAAAAATTATTTTATACTTCTATATAAATTTTTAAATAAGCAATATATCTCACATTGTTTCAAAGATAATGATGGAGAAAGATTGTTATATAAAAAAACAAAATAATAAATTTTAAAAGTACAGGTGATAAAAGGGTATGTCTATATATACACCATATGATGCCAAGGATATATTTTTAAAGTACACACACACACATATATATATATGTCAGCAAAGAGGCAAGTGTACTAAAATTTTAACAGTGTTTTAAGGATTAGGGGTGGATTTCTCCCTCAAAATCTGGAATGAAACTGGAATACATACATAATGAAACAGAATGTTAAATGACTAACATTTAACTGCTGCTTCTGCTAAAAAAATTCCCTCCCCATTACCCCAAATAATAATGATTCCCCTAAATAAAAAATGATCAGGCTTAAAAAAAAAGAAGAGTCTATTTGCCTAACTTGGGGCAAGGAGGTTATTATTGTGGCTTCGAGAAGCAAAGATCATGTACGCGAGAGCAAATTATTTAATCAGGCCTAACGGATGCCAGTGTTAAAATAAACTGAAAGCAGAATCTATCTCAGCTTTCACGACAGTGTGAAGAATCATTATGCGGGACACTGGCTGAAACAAAAAGACCACCACCCGGGGTGTGGCACGTGGCGCGTGGCATGCGGCTCGTGGCCGTGGATGTTCCTGGGAAGGCGTCTGTTGCTCTGACCCACAGCGGTGCGCGCCCGGGGCTCATCAGGACACGCGCTGGCCGATCGATCCCCGCCACCTCCCCGCACACGTACGCGAGCCACGTACCGAACCTGGTTCTCCAAGAAGTGCATGTACCGGTACAGCAGCGTGTAGGACGGGGACAGGATGCCCACGGACTTCATGCGCGCGCCCCGCTCCAGCTCGCTCTCCACGGGCATGTTGGCGAAGCAGGCCAGGCCGAAGAAGGGCCCCTTCCGGAAATAGCTGCACGGACAGACACGGGGTGTGGGTCCAAATCTCACAGGCGGATTTTTTGTTTGGCTTTGTTTTTTTTTTACACGGGAGATGCAGTGCCCAAGAAAAGAAAAACCTATTTCCAGGGCGCTATGTGAGAAAGCTCAGTCTAAAAAAAAAAAAAACAAACACCCCACTTTTTCAGACTCTCGGGGGGATTCTAAATTAGCCTGAGCTGCTCAACCTCCCAAATGAGACTCCCAAGGCTCAAAAAGGGTCATCAGCTGGAGCCAGGACTGCTCTCCGGCCAGCCTGCTACTCGACTGCCCATGACCATGAACATATCCGTCCTCCTCTCCTGTGTGACAACCAAAGATGGAAGGCCCAGGACAGAGTCATCTCAGGCCGTCCAGACCAGCACCCCGTGTCGTTCGCATAAACCGCCCTGACTGTCCTCACTTCCTGAGGCTCTGACAGAGCTGCCGCCTTTCCTTCCCCTTTCTCGCCGGCATCAGTCGCAGGGTCAGCCCCAGGGGAAGGTCGGAGCTACTTCATGACCCCTCAGTTCCTTCCCTTTGCTCCTCCCGAGAATCTTCATCACCCGGGGGCCACAGACCGGCCTGACTTAAAGCTCGGATTTCAAGCCTTAGCACAGGAATATCTTGGGTTAACCGAAACTAGACCAAACCTCCACGCTTTCCTTAAAGCCAAGCCTCAAGGGAGGTCCAGAAATTTCTTAGAAAGGGAGAGAATTTCTACGGAACAAGTTCTTAACGTTTCGGGGTCATTAAACCCATTGAGAACCTAATGAAAGGTCAGGACCTTCTTGCTAGAAAAATGATATAAACACAAAACTATGTATATATTTTCAGGGCATTTACACACGCCTCCTGAAGACCCCCTGATAAGAACCCTTATGGGCTGGGGGAGGGACGGGGAGAGAAAATGGTAAGGGGAGGGAGGACTGGAATCAGAAGTACTTACATGAAATCAGACTGGATCTTATGGGACCCACTGGCCATGGACTTGAACTCGACGCCTTCGAGGTCAATATCTTGAGGTAAACACCATTCCACCATGTTTCCTGTGGAAGGGAGAGCGCAAGTTAAAAGAAGCAAAGTCATTCAAAGAAAGAGTCAGTGCGGGACTCGGCACGCACAGCTTCCCAAGAAATGGGCTCAGTAACTTGCTAAAACTTTAATGACCTAAACTCTGCACTGCGTAAGTACAGAAAAATAGTATACAAAGTGCTGTCATGACCATCCAGCTCAGTGCGTTTTCCCAACGTGCACACGTCTCTGTAGCCGGCGCCCGGACCAAGACGCAGACCCTGACCTGCGGGCAGAAGCCTCTGGAGCCCCCGCACGATTAACCCTCCCCTGACTGCTAACACCAGGCCTGAGCTTTGCTGCTTTTGAAGTGTATCCGAGTGCGATCATACTTTGCGTCTGTTTTCTTTTGTTCAATTTTTTTTTTTTTGCAAGATACAGTCTGTTCATTGATTACTTCCATCCTGTGCATGTAACACTGTGGATCTACTTAACCGTTGATGCGCATTTTAGCTTATTTTCCGTTTAATGCTCACAAATAGCACTGCTGCGGACTGTCTGGTGAGCACGCGTGGGAGGCCGGGCTGTTTCTCAGGCCTCCCGCCAGGCCTGCTGATCTGGATCCCCCTTCCCCTGGGTCCTCTCTCAGATCTTCTGACTCCCCAGCCAGGTCCTCAAAGCTGGGGGCAGTGACGGACTCCCCGGGTTTCCACCCACCCTCATCAGCTCCGGCTGGTCGAGTCCACCCCCTTCTTCCATAACTGCTCCCCCGGTACCCTCCAAGCTCCGCCACCAGACACGAAGACGACAGCCTTACACACGGTGTCTAACCCCCCCCACACACTGAGGAACATGAGTCCCCTGTGTAGCTCCCAGGGGTCCCGGCACCTGGATTAAACCTTGACCGACACACATTTCTGTTGACTACATCGCTAGAAGGATTGCTGTCAAAATGCTCGTGTCACTGCAAACTAGAAAACATCGAGAGTTCCCCAAGTAGCGTTTCCCAAAGCTTAGCTTGGCAGGGCTTCTGCCAAAAATAACACACATCTTAAAGGGCGTTTTCGCCAAACCGCCTTCGTTAAAGTTATATAAAGATGGACACGTTGCTTTTCTGCAGACCTTCTCAGAGCCTTTGTGAGTTACTCTGCACTTTGTGAATCTCCATGAAATGAACACAGTGTTTAATTTTCCACAATTATTTGGCCAATGACCCTACTTTTGTGGGAAATTTTATAGACATGCTAGCAGATGAGGGACTGGAAGCTGACCCTCAATGTTCCTTCATTTTTTTCTTCCTGTCTTTAGCCGAGCATGTACCTGGGTTGCATGTTCGATCCCCAGTCAGGGCACGTACAGGAGNTTGGGCCACATACCTGGGTTTCAAGTTCGATCCCCCATTGGGACACCTATGGGAGGCAGCCAATCAATGTCTCTCTCGCAAATCAATAAGCATATCCTCAGGGGATGATTAAAGAAAAACAAAAAACCACAATGAGACATCACCTCACACCTGCCAGAATGGCTGTCACCAATAAATCAACAAATAACCAAATTGGTGAGGGTGTGGTCGAAAGGGAACCCTGTGCACTGCTGGCGGGAGTGCAGGCTGGTGCAGCCACGTATACGGAAGACGACACGGGATCTCCTCAAAAAATTAAAACTGGCCCAGCCGGGCGTGGCTCAGCGGTTGAGTGTCGACCTGGGATCCAGGCGATCAGGGTTCGATTCCCGGTCAGGGCACATGCCCGGGTTGCGGGCTCCATCAATGACTCTCTCATCATTGATGTTTCTATCTCTCTCTCTCCCTCTACCTTCCTCTCTCTGAAATCAATAAAGATTTAAAAAAATAATAAAAATAAAAAATAAAATTTAAAAAAAAAAAAAAAGTTAAAACTGGAACAGCCTTATGATCCAGCGACCCCACTTCTGGGTATTTATAGGAAGAAACCCAACACGATAGCTGGAAAGACCACAGGCACCCCTGCGTTCACTGCCCTGTTATTCTCGGTGATAAGACACAGCAGCAGCCCATGTGCCCGTAGCAGACGAGTGGATGAAAAGCGGCGGTGCATTTACAATGCGGAATATTACTCGGTCATCAAAAAGGATACGAGCTGACCGTTTGCAGCAACGTGGGTGGGCCTAAAGAGCATTACGCTAAGTGAAAGAAGTCACACAGAGACAGACAAATACCATACGATTCCACGTGCATGTGGCATCTAAAGAACAAACGAAACTGAAACAGACTCACCGATACAGGGGACAGGCGGACAGTTGCCAGAGTGGAGCTTGGGATACAAGGGGGGCACTTTGTAGGGTGTATGATTGTTTGGCCACTAAGCTGTACACCGGAAACTGGTACAAAATAGTATGGAATGTAAACTGGAATTTTTAAAAAAATCCCAGCAGGTCTTTACTGAGTACATGAAAATCTATTCTTTTTTTAATGTATTTTTCCCCCTGTAATTTATTCTCTCCATTTTCTAATTTCATAAAATGGACGCTTAGCTCATTCTTTTTAAAGTTTTCTTATCTCATGTACATATTTAAAATGTAAATTTTCCTCAAAATTCTGCTTTTGCTTTATCCCTCAAATATTGCTCTGTAAATGTTTTCAGATCGTTCAGCCCTTTAGATATTTTAAATCTGCATTAATTATTCAGCAGTGTGTTTTAAAAATCTTCAAAATACACAGGGAATTTTTTAAAATGTATCATTTAACAGTAACTGCTCATTTCCGTCTGTGGCAAAGGTCATTCATTCTTTATTATTTTTCGATGTGTTCTCTATGACTTGTTCATATCAATTTTTATAAATGTTCCGTGCACAGTTGAGAAAAGTGTGCATTCTTAAGTTGTTAGATATAAAAAATCTATATATCCGAAACAAAAAGAGTGTGGAACGGCGGAAGATTAGACAAACAGATCAATGGAACAGAATGAGCGCGCAGAAATAGACCCACAACAACACAGTCCACCGATCTTTGCCAAAGGAGCAAAGCAATACAATGAAGAAAAGACAGTCTTTTCAACAAATGGTGCTGAAAACTGGACATCCACATGCAAAAGAATTCACAAAAATTAACTCAATATGAATAGCACACCTATATGTAAGATGCAAAATTATAAAACTTCTAGAAGATACTATAGAAGAAAATCTAGGTGATCTTGGGTTGAGCAATGAGTATTTAGATACGAGAGTGAAAAGCACAATCTATGCCAAAAACTGGTAAGCTGTACTTCATTAAAATTTAAAACAAGCCACAGACTGGGAGAAAATATTTGCAAAAACATATCTGATAAAGGCTTATATCCAAAATACACAAAGGAATCTTAAAACTCAACATTAAGAAAACAACCCAGTTTTATTTTTTTATTTTATTATTTTTTTAATATATCCTTATTGATTTCAGAGAGAGGAAGGGAGAGGGAGAGAGAGAGAGAGAGAGAGAAACATCAATGATGAGAGAACCATTGATCGGCTGCAGCCCACAACCCCGGCATGTGCCCTGACCGGGAATCGAACCCTGATCGCCTGGATCCTAGGTCGAGGCTCAACCGCTGAGCCACGGCCGGCCGGGCAACCCAGTTTTAAAAACGGGCAAACGATACGAACAGATACCTCACTGAAGAAGATATACAGATGGCAAAGGAACATACAAAAACATGCTCCACATCACGTGTCATCAGGGAAACGCAAATTCAAACAGCAAGATCCTACCACAGACTATACCTATCGGAACGGTCAAAGTCGGAAACACTGACAACTCTCAGAGCTGGGGCGCAGGCGGGGCACAGGCCCTGGCATCCGCCGCTGCTGGGACACAAAGTGGCACAGCCCCTCAGGAAGACAGTTGGGCAGTTTCTTACAAAATTAAGCATAATCTTACATATGGCCCAGCAACTGCGCTCCTTTGTATTTATCCAATGAGTTGAAAAGTCATGTCCACCCAAAAGCCTGCACATGAATGTTTACAGCAGCTTTTTTCCTAATTGCCCCAAACTGGAAGCAACCAAGACGTCCTTCAGAAGGTGAATGGCCGAACACGCCGTGGAACGTCCCTACAATAAAATACTATTCAGCAATCAAAGAAGTGAGCTATCAAGCCGTAAAAAGACACGAAGAACCTTAAATGCATAGTGCTAAGTGAAAGAAGCCCGTCTGAAAGATACGTGATTCTTTTATACGACACAAAAGAAGCTACAGGGACAGTAAAAAGACATGAGTGGTTGGAGCACAGGGGATTTTTAGGGCAGTAAAACTATTCTGTATGATCCTATTATGGTGGATACACAACACTGGACATGTTTCAAAACCCACAGAAAGTTCAGTACAACACAAATGTAAACTACAGACTTTAGTTAATAATAACGTATCGATATTAGTTCACCAACTGTAACAAATACATCACATTAATGCAAAATGTCAATAGTAGGGGAAATGATATTTAGGAATTCTATACGTCTGCTTTTTCTATAAACCTAAAACCGGTCTAAAAATAAAATTAATTATAAAAAGCTAATAGATAAATGTAACCTAGGGTAATTATGGTAGGACAGTAGTGATACTGTGGTTATGCCTTATTCTTAAGAGATCTATACTAAACTCTTTTATTTTAAATATATCTTTATTGATTTCAGAGCGAGGAAAGGAGAGGGAGAGAGAGAGAAACATCAATGATGAGAGAGTCATTGATCAAGCCCGCAACCTGGGCATGTGCCCTGACCGGGAAGCGAACCAGCCACCTTATGATACATGGGACAGTGCCCAACCTACTGAGCCACGCATGCCAAAGCTAAAGGTCACCCTTTAACAGAAATGTTCCACTCTTCTCAGATATTGGAAACCAGTTTGTATATGAAATTTGTGGAGGCTTAAAGGAAAGTGACCTCTCAAACTCAGCGATCCTTGAGGCAAAGCCATGTAAGGCTAGGAAACCCTGCACACTCCCTGTCCCGGGCCCAGTCCTCCCACTCCAAGCCCTCTGGTTTTGCAAACATGCTCGCGGCACTTTAGGAACCCAGCCAGGAAACTGGGGCCTGGACGGATTCAACAGAAGGGCTCACCCCAGGGGCAGTCAATCAGAGAGAGGCACGTCACTGTCGACAGTCCCTTTTCCCCCTAATTCTCTCTCCTTCCATCTCCACAGCCACCCTCTCTCGGGCCTGTGACAGGTACCTGCAGGCCCTGCCTGGCCTCTAGCTGCAAG